ATTAACATGAAAGGTGAACATCATAAATAAAAAAAAATTTAAATTTGAAATTTAAAAATTCAAAAGAAAAACTAACAACAAATTACAATCCTGATGATGACTATTTCGACATTGATGGTTATATGATGATGATGAGGATGATCCTCCTCTAATCTTCAACGAGTGAAACTTTTTCCAAATCAAATCAAATCTTTTTTTTCGTTATCGATCTTACGAAGTAAAACAAACAAAAAGGTTTTTGTCATTTGCCAAAATTCCAAGTTACCAAGGTGTGAATGTTGTTGTTGTTGTTTTGATTGTTTTTTTCGGGATATTTTTAGCGAATCTTTTAGCGAATCATAATTAATCTTTGGAGTCAAGATGATTGAACATTCAATTCAAAACAAACTGAGAAACTGAAACATCCTATAATTTTCCTTTTGTTTTTCGTTGTTAGAAAAAATCCAATTTACGATTCGATTCATCATTTACTGAAAACTATTTCGAAATCTATATTTTTCAAATTTTTTAAATTTCAAAAATTTCCCGCCATCATCATCGATCATCGTTCATCATCATTCGAAACGAGAAAAGCAAACAAAAATCTACTGATTTTTTTTTTGATTGACAAATTCAGCTTGTTTGCAGCAATTTTTGATCCGAAAAGGATTCATTTTTTTCTCCAAAACAAATATGGCCATCATCATCATCCTAATAATCGATTAATCGATTGATTGACAATCGATTATTATTATTATGGTAATCGATAAATAAATTAATGAATCAATCGATATCAATTAATTGATTGATTGATTTATCAATCAATCTTTTCTGTTTTTTCTTCATTTTGATTATCATTGATTCGTCCATCAAAGACATGCGGAAATTTCTTTTTTTTTTCGTTTTTTCCCAATTTGTAATTTTGGGCTTTCCATCATCAAATTGAAATATTCAAAACGCAACAGCAGATTTGCATTAATCATCCAACGACCACAACCACAACATTATTGACAAGGTTATCCATATTTCTGTTTTGGATTTTCGATTTTCTTTGGATTTTCTCTGGATTTTTTCAATTTTGAAACAAACAGAAAACTATGAAAATTTGACAATTGGATAATCTTCCAGTCATCATTCTAATTATGAATTTGTCATTTAATTTCTTAGAAAGTTTCTCATGTTACACTGATGGGAGGGGAAATGCAGAAAAATGAAAAAGTGTCACTGGAAAAATCAAAGAAAATATTTACATAAACTTGTCATCATCATCAGCATCCGCAATATCGATTATCGATTTGATTTGATTCAAATTGCAATTTGCAATTTGCGAATCGAGAAACTTCAAAAAAAAAAACTTTCAAAAAAACTTTTTCTCAAATTAAAACGTAAAACGTAGCAGGATACACAGTCAAAACACACCTTTGCTTCGGATCGTAAACTTATGGAAACTCTGAAATAAAATCTCTGAATATGGGAATGGAAAATTTATCTCGTTTTTTCTTCCCCAAATAAAATCGTTGTTTGTTTGATGTTTGATTTGCATATTTTTCCCATTGATGATGTATCAGTTTTTATCGGAACGACCTATGATGATGATAACTTTCAATCATCAATAAATCACTTTTGATTTTTCATTTTGATGAACCCATTTTGATTATCATTATAATTATGTTAATGATGATGATGATGATGTTCAGGTAGCATCATCAACATCATCATCATCAGCGTCAGCATCATCATCTTTTTTTTTATTACTTATCATTTTTATGATCTGTCCATTTGAATTATTATTATTATTATCAGTTAGTTAGATTATGTTTTGAAGATAATAATTTGATAATAATGATGATG